GGGGGGGGGGGGGGGGGGGGGGGGGGGAGAGCGGGGAAGGGGAGGGAAATTAGAAGTGGACGGTGTAAATTAGAATTAGAAATGAAAAATATAATAAATTCAGAATTTGTCTGCCCATATTTCACCCCTAAAATGTGCATAAGATAAATTTAGGAAAAAAAAAATTAAAAAAAGGAATAGAAAAAGGAAAAAAGGGATTTTTGGAAAGAAATTTTGATTTTGGATTCCGACATTCAGTTCGAGAAAAAGTTTGTTTTTTTTTTTGTGCCTTTTTCAGTGAGTTTGTTCTTACTGTGTATTCCAGGCTGGTGTCATCAATGGGCCATTAGTGTTGGATCAGTTGCGTTGTAATGGTGTTTTGGAAGGTATCCGCATTTGTCGACAGGGTTATCCAAATCGAATGCCTTTCCATGATTTACGCCGACGATACGAGCTTCTTGTTGAACCGGGAACCATACCGCCCGGTTTCTTGGATGGAAAGGAAGCAGTGAGGTACAGTTGAAAATATTTTCATCGTTTGACTGAAAAGGAACCTAGATTTATAAGGAAAATGTTGAAAGTACTTTTATTTGACTAAAAAGGGGCCTAAATTTATAAGGAAAGTGTAATCCTAAGTACTCGGCCTACTTCCCTCCACCCACTAATTCCTAACACTTCTACTACACTTCATATCATTCCACATTTTTATTTCACCTACCGCTCTCACTTACTAACTCCCTTTATCCTTCTTTCCCCTCCATTAGTATGTGGGGAAGCTATGGCTATAAATGCTTATTTTCGTTCGAAAAAAAAAATGAAACACATTTATGCGATCAGTCAGTCTTCTCTAGGCGTATGCTTTCTGCACTGGAAGTGGATCCGAGTCTGTTTTCGATTGGCCAATCCAAAGTGTTCTTCCGATCTGGTGTTATCGCCGCACTAGAAGAGCTACGGGACAAGGAATTGGAACGATTTGCGATTCGATTCCAGGCGCATTGCCGTGGATATCTTGCTCGTCGTACTTTCAAAAAACTCATGCAGCAAGTTTCGGCAATTCGAATTATCCAGAGAAATGGTGTCGCTTGGAAACGCCTAAAAGATTGGCAGTGGTGGCGTCTTTTTGCAAAGGTACCAGTTCCTATTTTGCTCATTTTGCTTTTGTTTATATTTGTAAATATTAAATTTTGCTTGAAAAAAACGGGTATTTTTTCATTAAGAATAAGATTGTGAGGAAATTAATAAAATCTGAGTTTTGCGGTAAATATTCCCGCATTTCTTCCGATTTAAGCAGTCTTTCCCTCTTTATCTGTTACTTCTTGAAAAACGCGTAGTATATTATGCCAGATGCGTACAGGAACTCTATATACATACATATGTATATATATGTACATTGTATTTATATAAATTTTGATAATCTTGTTAATATTATCCCGAAATATAATTTACCAGATTTCTGCTTATTTTTTCCAAGTGAGGATTGAGCAGGGGATTTGTTTTCCCATTCGGTTGCCTAGATTTATATTGCTGGATAATCTAGCTGACACTTTAAAAATTTCTGCTGGATAAATTAAGATTTGTAGTTCCGGACTTTCTATTTTTGAGTGATTTGAGTGATACTCCAGGATTTTTCTATTTTCCGCTTTATTTGCTGTTTTGTCTAGGTTAAACCACTTCTGGAAGTAACGGCAAGCGAAAACGCTATAGCAGCGAAAGAAACGGAGCTGAAATGCTTACGCGAAACACTTCAGCAAAAGGAATCTGATTTGCTTGGATATACATCACGCATCGAACAGGTATAGCAATTGTACACGAATTTACAGTATGCGCTTAAGGATTTTTACAGTATATGATCGGGATAAAAGGAAAACAAAGGATATGTGACAAACAAGTAAATATTTTTGCTGGTAGATTGTCAAATTGTATTTTGACCGAATCAGCAGTAAAGAAAAACTGAGGAGAAGTACGGTATTTTGGAAATGCTTGATGTTGCCGTTGTTTTGCTGAGGGGTACGGTGCTTTGTGGAGTACTGTATTTTTGGCGCAGATACTGTAGTTTACGATAGGATAAACCTGCTACGCCAACCCCTACAGTATCCTGACGGTTGCTGTATTTTATAGTCTAACTTTTGCTTCCGATTGGCGCTATGGTTTTTATTTATAGCGTTTACAGTATTCCGCAGCATGTAGTATTTTAACTGTTGTTTCTATGTTCAGCTTACCAGTGATCGTGCTGATTTGCAAAAATTGCTGGAGGCGGAAAGTGCTGAAAAAACGGATCTGGAAGATATGAAAGATCAATTGGCATCAACAAAAATGCAACTGGAAACTCAACTTGTGAATTTGAGAAGACATTATGAAGAAAAAGAAGCGGAAGTGTCGAGTGCTTGTGCAGCTCGGAAGAAACTGGAGGTCCCATATTCTGTTTGCCATAACGCTCATGAGTGAACACATAAGTCGGAAGGAAATAAAACTTGATTTTTTTAATCCAATAGGGACTTCCTTGAAACTTCTAGTTGTTCCGACTTCCTCATCTGTTTTTCCCCCTTATCCTGATTTCTTCGATCTGTGATATCCTATTTCCATCGTGATTTTCTACCGTTTTTCTTAGTCACATCAGATAAAACAATTCGATTCCCAAGCATTTCACTGGTGCAGGGCGTTCGCAGGCTAAAGCAGGTTTTTTAGACGGAGGTTTTTTTCAAGCTAAGTAATCTGATAATAGCGGCAGCGAGAATTTTCTAATCTTATTACGATTAGATATAGATATACTATTCATCTTCCTTCTCGTCGTCTTTTTTATCATGCTTCAAACTAAGAATAAATTGCGAATAAAGGGACAAAATCCTCCGATCTTTGTTCTTCGCTCCGAATTTTTCGACTCCCGATGCTAATTTTCGTCTGTTTTCATCTTTTTTCACCAAACACGTCGCACTCGTCACTCCTCATTTCTTCATTTTTTATTTTTTCTAGGATGATTTGGTGGTTCTGAAAAAGCAATTACGAGAACAAACAGAAACATGTGAGAAAGTGCAAGCAGTGAATGTTACTGTTGAACAGAAATTAAAAAATCTTACGGCCGAGAAGGACCAGCTAGCTGAGGCGAACGAAAAGGTATGCGTTACAATTTTACTAAATTAAAACACTTATTATTATTTTGCCTTAGGCTTCTATCGGCTTGCCTGGAAAAAAGACGTCATCGACAGCCTTTTGCGGATGGTTGCTGTTGGCATTTGCTACCACTGAGGTCACTTCTGAATACCTCCACTTTTCGTAGAGGGTAAATGCGGAGGGTTTTTCGATATTGAGTTCTAGGTTAGATTTATTTTTTTTTTTTTTTTGAATATTTAGTTTTTTTTTTCGTATCTGACTTCTCCAATTTTCATTTTTTGCCTTTATTTTTATCCTTCAACAATTTTTTTTGTCTGAATATTTGTTTCAGCACAGTTTTGATTTTTGGCATTGAGTTCTAGCTTAGATTTGTTTTTTTTTTTTTTTTTTATTTAGTTTTCTTTTTCGTCTCTGATTTCTCCAATTTTCATTTTTTGCCTTTATTTTTATCCTTCAATTTTTTTTTTTTGTTTTGGAACATATATTTCAGTATAATTTTTATTTTGACCAAATTTTTTTGCGAATGATTTTTCCCCCTAGAAAAATATTTCAGTCGCCTTGGAAATTGTTAGATGAGAAATGCCTGCACCATTATTGATGGCAAAAGGAGATAAATCGTTTGGGCATGGGTATGCCGGCTTGCGGATACGCCTTAGCAGCATAGTTCCATAGCAACAGGAAATGGGGCAGGTTTTTTAATGCCTTCTCATGAATTTTCGTATTTTTTCGTTTTTTTTTTTTTTTGCAGATAGCAAAAGAAAAGATGCTGCTGGAAGAACGATTTTCGGCTGCAACACAAAAAGTTGTGACCGAGGAAGAGCAAAATCGTCAAAATGTGAAACTAAAGGCGAAACTGGAAGCACAGCTGGCTGATTTGGAACATGAGAATAAGATGCAGAAGAAGGTTGGCGCCTCAAATTTTTAGTGCAGTCTGGCTTTGACAGTCAAGAAGCTGGGTCTGGTGGGTAAAAAATTTTTATTTTATGTCCAGATACTGAGAAATCTCGGTCTTCGTGTGGTTTTTTGATTTTCAGGAAAGCCTAACATGCAGAAATACTATTAATTTCAAGAAAGTTTTTGCTAAAATAGAAATTTTTGGAAAAAATGGACTGGATATAGGTACTGAAAAATCAAAAATTTGAGGGACGAAAATGCGAAAAAGACATAAAAATTTGGGTATGAATTTTGAAAATACCTGTTTGGAATAAAAATGATTTTTGGGAATACCAGTTATTTATTGAAAAAAACGAATTTTGAAAATACAGGTTATTTGAAATCTCTGTATTTTTGATTTTTTTTTTATTTTTGCGTGATCTATGATGCATTTTCATTTAATATTTTAAATATGATAAAACATATTTAAAATAAAATAATGTTTTACCATTTGTTGTCTTTTTAGGCTTTTGAAACAGCAGAAGCGGCAAATCGAAAGCTGACAGCAGAAACACGAAGTTTGCGTGAAAGTAATGAGGATTTGTTGAAGAAACTGAACCAGCTAAGCACTCAGTTGAAAAAGAAGGAAGAGGAGCTTATCACAACCCTCACACGGTACTATGATGGCACTTTTTTTTTGTAAATATGAGACATTTTAGCAAATTCGAGATTAGTTGGATTTTAAAAAAAAATTTTTTCTTTTTTTTGAGTTGGTTTAAACTTGTTATTTTAAGCTGTGACGAAGAGCAATCGCAAAAACAGACGCTGAGCAAACAGAACAAAGAATTGATGTTTGAGCTACAGGAGTTGAAAGAGGACCTGGAAAGCGAAAAAGCGTTGAGGTATATTTTTTTTTTTTGAATTATTTGAATATATTTTTTTTAAAAAAATCATGCTGATACCGACCAAGTCTAATTTTTCTTAAATTATACGTATCTTTAGTCTTTAACTTCTTTAAAGCATAAAATATGTTACATTTTTGACTAGCAATAAAATTTCGTGAAATTTTTACTTCACTGTTATTAAATGCTTTGGCGGCACTCTTTTTCCATGTATTTATTCTATTTTGGGATAATTTCATGGAGTTTTTTACAAAAAAAAGCAGATCGAATATTTTTTTCCACTGAGATATTTGTCAAATCTGAATTGTAATCTTTTGTAGAGCAAAATCGGAGCGAGGCAAACGAGACTATATGGAAGAGCTGGAGGCCCTCAAACAGGAATTGCTGGAATCACAGGATAAAACGCAGGCTAACGTACAACTGCGAGCTGAACGGGAGAAACAATATCTGTCAGTCAAAGTAAGTTTTTGGTAGGAATACCATGAGGAGTTTTGGGGGGAAAAAATCGTGAGTTTTTGACTTTTTCCCCTTTTTTTCCTCTTTTTTTTGATAATTCATGTAAACGGTGTTTTCCAGAAAGAGCTCGAAGAATCGACGAATCAATATGAGCAGATCATAGCGGATCTGAAAGAGAAACATTCAAAGCAGTTGGATGAAATCAGAATGGAAATGGACCAGCTGAAAAAGCAAATGCAACAGGTTACGATTATAAGTTCAACGGGTGGGGGAGGTGGGGTGCGGGAGAGGGGACAAGGGACACAGGGCAAAAGTTGTGGGGGGAGGGGGTTATATGATGGTTCTGTGATTTCCCTAATATAAGGCTGCAGTGAAATGTGGCTGCGATCAAATGAACAGGCCGAGATTGTGCTCAGAAAAGAAGAGAAGCTTGTCTTTGTTATCACTGGATAAGGATTTACGAGAGATAAGATTGCTGTTTCCTCTTCGGCCAGCAAGTACAGGCCGTATACCTGACGAGAAATGAGTGCTTTTTGGGCTTAGGCTTTTTAGGCTCTGTAGATTGTTCGTGAATTTCCTGCATCATTTGGTGTAATTTGATTCCAGGCTGCTAAAACGAAGAGCCGTGTGGAAAATGAATTGCAAGAAAAAGTACTTTTAATTGAGCAAAATCAATCTGCCCGAATGGAAGCTGAGCGAAAAAAGAAGAGTATCGAAAGTCAGTTAAATGAATGGCAAACGAAAGCCCAGGAAGCGGAAGCGAATAATGCCGAACTGGAATCTACATTGACAAAAGTACGTTTATTCATTTTATTATGGAAGCAAAATATGCTAAAATTATGAGTAATTTTATCCCTCATCGCGATTTGCTGATGTTCTTTTTCTAGAGCTTGAAAAATAGGGCTACTGCGGATTACTGTAATTATCACAAGTGGGCTACTGTAAGCATCACAAGTAGATTACTGTAGGAATTACTGTATCTCGTACTGCTAATGATTGCACTAAATTATGATGGGACTGAAGTTGAATATTCACGAAAAACTGAAAAATTTTAAGAATTTAAGAAGTGTGCAATGTGTATGATTATTGTAATTCGCCATCGTATAAAACAGATCCAAACATTTCTGGTAGCTTAGAGTGAAAAAAATGTCGATTCTGGGAATCCAAAGATAATGAGCGCGGGAATTTTAAATTTTTTTCGTGTTGCTTAAGTGTGGATTTGAGGAAAGGGTGGAGATGGAATACACGAAAAGTGCTCGAAAAATTGGACTAATGTAGGTTGCTGTGCTCGAAAAGTAGGGCTACTGTGGGTTGCTGTAGTTACTGTAAATGGGTTACTGTAGAAACTACTGTAACTCTTACTACTAGTGACTGCACGAAATTTTAAATTTATAGAAGCCGTTGAATCTATAGAATGGATTTAGTTGGCAAATTTTCACGATTCGGCAGAGCATTTGTGCAGAAAAAAACGAATGTATTGTTAGTTTTATGTCCGAGAAATATGTATTTTTTATTTTAGACGCAATCTGAAATTGCCCGACTCACACAAGAACTCGAAAAAAGCGAAAGCAGTTGTTTGGCTTTGCGTAAAAAAGTCGCTGATTTTGAAGCACAAGTAAGCTTTATATATACAGTTTGTATTTTTCATTGTGGCCAAGATATTCATGCTAATATTTGTAAATTTTTCTTTTTCAAAGACGCCCTATTTTATAATTTTGCTTGTTCTCTTAAATCCAGGCACATCGTCGATCTGTGGGGGCGATCTTGAATCATAGGAGGGAAGAAATCCTGGCAACTCCAGGCATGTAAAGGAATACTGCGGCGCATTTTGTCTGACTTAGCTTAAAGTAAAAGGCATTACGGGCTTCAAAGACCCTGTGAGGGAATGGATGAGGGTAGTAACCTGGGCCAGGAACAACGGCCCATTCAGCGCAAGGTATCGACCGGCAAGGGTGGCACCAACCTTACATGCAATAGGAATAACCAGAGGTAGGGCGGTGGCCATCCAGAATCCAATGAGTCAAGGTTAGCTCAGCCAACTGTTGATACAACATGATGTATCCGACATAAGTCCTGGTAACGTCACTAGGTTTAGATTCTTCTTGATTGTTCGAGCACTTTTGATAATAATAATTTCACAAATATTGTAAATGCATGTCAGTATTTATGGCTTCCACATGCATTTGATGAACTTTAGTCACTGCACATAAAGGCTTGCTTATTTGGGAGATCTAAATGGCACTACTTCCTCTGTATTTTCATTAATTGTCAAAATTCGATTGTGTTCCTCTTCAGGTTGGGCCAATAGCGCCAAACAAACTGCATATGTTAACACATAGAAGATTCCAGGCCCTCGTCCTTTTCCAGTCTCCCAGCCAGGAATATTCACTGTTTATATCTTTTTAAATTTCTACAATATTTTTAAATAAGTGAACTAACTAGGCCGGTTTTTGATGAAAGCGGTAAAATTTCTAACTTAGTTTTATATGTCAGAGCACTATAGTACTTCGTTAAGTGACATTAAAACTTTTTTTTTTGAAGAATGCTGAACTACACGACACGATTAATTTGGAAAAATCGCAAAATGATACGCTACAGAAGAGGCTACAAGCGCGAGAGGATGAAATGGAGGTGATGCGCGAAAACAAAGAGCGCGACGAGTCAGCTATTCAAAAATATGAAAAGGTTTACCTTATTTTTTCAATCGGAACAAAATTTTATATTTGATGAAGAGAATGAGAATAAGGATGAGGACTTGGTTTGAATTGAAGAATATCTCACTTGTTCCGGATTTATCCCCACTGAGCCCAGACCCCACGAGCCCCGGCTCCTCCGGGTCCCGACCCAACGAGACCCTTACCTCACCAGGTCCCGGCTGTAGGACCGGTGTTTTTTGTTTATAATATTGTCAGCTGGAATATTATCAGTTCACAGTGTGGTACTCTTTATTTCGGTTTCTGTGGAGTTCCCTATTCAGCGGTTTCCCCCGACAGGGGAAAATCTGGCAAGACTTTTGGTCGTTTTTGGATATTCTTGATGAGTATTGAGCACCGCCACTTTATCTCGAACACTGTCTTTCCTGGACGAAGGTGGGCGATACCTTGCTAATTAGGGGATTATCATTATTTAATATATTGCTACAAGTATAATTTGTATTAATATCACCACCTACGCTTCTTCTGTTGGCCCAGGATTTTAGCCCCTTAAAGA